TACAACAGGGTCGGAACTAATCAAAAGTCTATTGAATATGCCTTCATTCGTCTTTTTTCTGTTGCACTTGCGAGAAAAATGTTCTCTGTAGCTCATAAAATATTTGTTTCGCGCCTCTAGACCTTTTTATGACAATTGACGTTTATTTTGTTTTGAATACGAAAAACCTATAGAGGACTCAAGCCAACTTTTGTTTGCTTTAAAAAAACGTTCTTCGTGTCTACAGGACATATTCCAACGAATTTTGATCTCAGAGATGAAATATCTCATCTTATCATTAAATTCTTTTAAATTTTCATCAGATGGCCTGATGCGATCTTTCATTTGTCCCGTTATAACGTTAAATTTATCATTGAATCGATCGCAGCCTAAGTTTTTCATTATTTGATAAAGGCTTTGACGAGTAACCCAAATCATAATCTTCTCTGTCACGTAAAATCCGAGATGTTTTTGAGGTGAGAAAAGAATCCAGACGTGATGGAGCAAAACGGACTTCAGATTCGTGTTCAGCGACCCCAAGAACATATTTATGATAGACTAGGTTTGGTCAAAGGAACCTTTCATCGATTTTTTTTTTGTGTTATTGGCAAATCTAAGGCTGCTAAATAAAAATGTGTAATATATTAAAGTGTACTTAATCAAAAGTTTTTTATTGTATATTCATGAATTCATTTTATTTTTTGACTCCCAAGGTAGTGGTTTTGGTCCATAATTGGACTAGTATTTTTCTGTCTACTTTGAACTAGTATGAGACTGGTATATTTCTGACCGAAATCTGATAATTGCCATCTCGTAGAACATGCCCATGTTAAAAATACCAGTTGATTGCATGGAAAAAAGATAGTTGGCTGACTAGTTGGGCATGCGTTTCATACTAGTTGTGAGGTAGTTTACAACTAGTTCATTTGACTACAGGGAACCTGTAAAAGTCGAAACAATGAAAGTAACAACTTTTTAGTATAGTAACATTTATTGATAGCCTCTGATTTAAAATTAAATTATTTTGTTTCAAATGGTTGGCAACTATTTTTGTTTTCAGTGGTAAATGAATTTATTTTATTAGCATATTTAAACTATTGCTAAACGGAGTTATTAATCTCATTTTTTCTAGTAGCACTGAAAGCTCTATAAGTGATCTGGCGACAAGTATTTATCAAACAAATGCTCAGAGATTACATTGTCTCAAAAACAAATGAAAACAAAGTGTATGCAGTATATGCATACGATCTATATACCCATATACACGCATAACTACTTTATATACATACAAGAACAGTATTATCTTAAGTGGTTCCCCGTAACCAGAAATTAACCCTTCATGCGCATATTTAAACTCAATGCGTTTTAGTGTTTTTTTTTTGCTCAATATATTTATGTGTCGCATATATTGTCAAACTCAGTCAGTATAAATTTAAAGATTATGTACTTTTTCTTTTGATGCTAATCTCCTTGGATATTTAAAGAATAGCTTATACTTCTAAATAGTAGTCAACGAAGCAGATACATATATATTTAGATACTTTGTACAAGAATATAATATACTTTAGATATTTTGTACAAGAATATAATATACTTAGATATAATTTGCAGTTCATAATTCCTTACGAAAATCTTAAGTAGTTGCGAACACATTTTGCCATATAATCCCACAGATATAGGAAAGGGTTAAAAGCACACACTACGAAGCCGTAAGTGAATTTATCTCTGAACACAATATCGAAGCGAAAGCTCATTTATCAATAAAAGAACTTTTTAAATAGAAGCTTTCAGTTTGTTTGTTGCACATTTGAAATTTAATACACTATAATTGCAATATGAACACTTACCATATACGCACTTAAATACATACAAACATACATATAAAAGCACTCACCACATCAACCCAGCATGAAAAACAAACACGTGTTGCTTTGAAACTAGTGTTTCTAGTTTATATTAACTCCAAGTATTTAAGTTCCCTGTAGTCAAATTTACTAGTTGTAAACTACCTCACAACTAGTATGAACCGCATGTCCAACTAGTCAGCCAACTATCTTTTTTCCATGCAATCAGCTAGTATTTTTAACATGGGCATGCCCTACGAGATGGCAATTGTCAGATTTCGGTCAGAAATATACCAGTCTCATGCTAGTTCAAAGTAGACAGAAAAATACAAGTCCAATTATGGACCAAAACCACTACGTTGGGAGTCAAAAAATAAAATGAATTCATGAATATACAATACAACACTTTTGATTAAGTGCACTTTAATATATTACACATTTTTATTTAGCAGCCTTAGATTTGCCAATAATTAGTGTTAAATTTTTTGAGCATTAAGTAAAAGGAAAAATAAATACATAAATACTTCAAACTTTCGCACATACATTTAAGNATAATTAGTGTTAAATTTTTTGAGCATTAAGTAAAAGGAAAAATAAATACATAAATACTTCAAATTTTCGCACATACATTTAAGTGCATTTTTCATTAAATGTTATTAAAAGTAAAAGGTTTCAGGTACAATAAATACTATATTTTTATCTTTTTTGATAATATTGAATATGCAAAAGAAAACATTTTAGTTAAAAACTAGCAGACCCGGCGAACTTCGCCCCGCCAAAAATCAATTTTTTTATTGAAACATTTGGTCCAACGTTTTCGCCAGAAATTTACGTTCACGTTTGATTTTGTGGTCGACAGAAGGCATATCCTCCATTGCCGTCTTAAATAACCTGACGAAAGGGTTGTACCGGGAAGAATTCCTTGCGGCTCAATAGTGAATCGTTCTTCAATCTGTATAGTAAAGTTCGTGGCAATTTCTAAACTGGTGAGTATGATTGGTCCACATTCTGTTTAGTCACCGTAAAGCAAGGGCCGCAATGGTTCTGATGATTGATTTAACGGGAGTAATTTGACTTTGATCCCTGGTGCCTTCGAATCGTCGATTTTTAGCAATAACTCGGATCCAGAGCCACTAAAAATTATCATTAAAAAATTTTCATTAAAATCGTTTCCGTGGCTTAAGAGGAGTTAAGCCACCAGAATAAGTCTTTACATACTGACACTCTTCGGCATTTTTTCCCATACAAAAAAACTATCACGCATTCGTTATACGGAGAAAATGCGCAACATCATCAGCGAAAAAAATTCTCAAAATTGAACGGTAAATTATTAGCCTTTAAAAACGTGCACTTTATGATATTGAAATTGAGTGAACTACAAAACTGCTTACTCAAAATTTGGTGCCATTTGATGCAAAATGAACTATATTTCTATAAAAAATTAACAAGAAATTTATTATGAAAAATAAAAAAAACTGTATTCTCGGTGTATATATTTACAGATAGGTAAAAGTTTCAATATGTTTGGAAAACGTCATGTCCCTTTTCCAGTAGCCCCAAAATCTCTATAACAATTTCAGGGACGCTACAACAAAAACTTCCAGATATATACGGTATGAAAAAATCGATATGTATGGATGATGCCACGCTTCCTTAATGTATCGAAAGTCTGCAGTAGGTATCCAAAATTTCAACAAATCGGTACAGCCGTTCGCGAGATCACCCCTTATAAAAAGAAGGAGCTTCTCTTTATATAATTAGTGTAGGTAACACAGGGCAACACCGATCCAAAATTTCAAAAAATCGGTACAGCCGTTCGCGAGATCACCCCTTATAAAAAGAAGGAGCTTCTCTTTATATAATTAGTGTAGGTAACACAGGGCAACACCGATTTTGATGGGGCAAATGTTAAATCTGTTTTTGAGCCTTTTTTGTGCAGATTACGAATCCGAAAGTATTAAGTTTCCATCAGCTCCAGATTTTGAGAAAAACGTGGTGAAAGTGTCTTTTGCAATATTTGAGAAACTCTAGCAAGGAAACAAAAGGTGATGAACCTTCCACTTAGGCTTAAATTAAAGCAAGAACTACAGACTACTATCCCTGAAAATACTACTCCTGCACCTTGCCCTGACGGTCACCTATACTCAATTACTGTTTATCGTCCAACAATAAAAAAATACTGGAAAATTATGCAATTGAAAAAAGTGTGTAAAAATCAGTGTTAGCTGTTCAATAAACGACTATTGGTGACCTTAGGGCCAAGGTGCAGGAATAGTATTTTCAGGGATTGAAGCCAGAAGTCCAAGCCTTAATTTAAGCCTAAGTGGAAGATTCTATCATTGTTTGCTTAATTGCGGTAGGTACTCAAACTTCCCAAAATCAGTTATTCCTGATCAACAAATGACTATAAGTGACCATCAAGCCAAAAAGAAGTCAGAACAACAAGAAATATACATGTATACCCTGTCTTTTGTCCATCTGAAAGAATTTTAAAAATTCTATAAAAATTTAATATGTTTGAAATGCAACCGTGGACACCAGCTGAAAAAGTTCTTTTGCATTAATTCCTGAAATTTTGTTTAAAAATGTTATTTTATGAAAAGATACGAAATTTGTTTTGGTTTTTTAGTATTTTCCGATTAAAAAGGTAATAAAGCATATAAATTATGCACATCAACAGAAAGATAAATTAATTGTCTTATGTTGGCATCACTTGTTCTTGAATCGGTTATGTAGTTCATAAAATGTTAATACTTCAAAAAACCAAAAAATGTTAATTTAACCTTTTATATATATTTTGTATTTTTGCGCCAAATAATTTTGGTACAGTTGAAATCACCGTGAGAAGTTCTATCGAGCCACATTTTTGGTTTTTGCATAGCTAAATGGTTCAAATTCTACACCTATGCCAAAACGTTGCCTGTGAACAATATATATTTTTTTGAACGTCTGGCAACACACACGTCAGATATCCACCGATAAGGTTATGGCGGAAAACCAAAATTCAACTGGCCTCTATGGCTATGGTTATGGCTATCGTGTGACACCACTCGAATACAGTGTTGGTCATAAGGTTGGTTGGAACAGGTTTTTTATACGGTTGTGGTTATTTCTGTAGTACATATGTATTTAGCTATTAAGTATGCATGTATTGATATTGGTTGGCATTGGTGGATCGTGGCTATACGGAACACGCCAGTGGGAAAAGGTAATGTTTGGGAATGCAAAAAGTAGTGGATATCCCCTATAACCTACGCACGAAAGGATGCAAAATTTCCCTACAACGATGCTATACGAAAGTAATGTGTCGCATATAGCTTTGCGAAACTATAAATAGAATCTATAATAGAATTTTTAAATAAAAAAAAATAAAAAATTAAGTCGGTGCTGCGCATGATGCAATAATACAAGGTGTTATCAGTTGGCAACTTCTCGCTCTAATTCCGCCATATTGACTGTCTTACGTGAAGCAGTGTTACTTCTTTAACTATTCTTTGCCCATTAATATAGTTGAATGGTTTTTATTTTTTCTCAGTATACACACCTTGTTTTATTAAAAAGGTATTTTTTCTTATTTCATTTCATTTCATAACGAATATACTATAAAAAAGCAAATTTTGTTTAGGAGAAAATGTGAAATTATATATTTTTCCCCCATATGGGGATTCATTTCTTCCCGTTTTTCTTCTCATTCTACTGAGCGAAGGCAGTGTCAAATCGAGCTGTCACAACTGATACCACCTTGTATTATTGCATCATGGGTGCTGCAGGTATTGAACCCGTGACCAACAACACGGCAGTCGAACACGCATCCATTCGGCTACAGCAGCTGTTGAGATGACGTGAAAAAAAAATACTTGAGTTAAAGCACAGTTACCCACGGACGTAAAAACGGAGAACTTGTTAGCTGACACGATCTATCTTATGAGAGCTGCGTGCTCACAAAAACTCACCACCGCACGACCATGACGTAGACGTGACTTCTCTCTCGTTCTATCAACAGAAAACTTGATATGTTTCTACGTACTTCTACGCTACGCTACGTACACGTTCTTGGGCAACCGCGCTCTTAGCTCTCAAACGTTTCGTTTTGTTTGTGACCATGGTTGCCACTCGCCAACATTTTTTTCTACCAAAATCTCTTAAGAAAAGTTACCAAAAGTTACCAAATCTTCAATACCAAAATCTTCACTTCTTCACTGAGAAAAAAATATACTGAATAAAACTGCTATATTTCATAACAAATGTGTATATACTTACAGCCAGATTCTGTGCACTTAATAAATTCAATATTTTTATAAATTGTCAATTTTCGATTATTTATCAAAAACTCCCAGTTCTAGCAAAGAAGTTTAAATCTATTTTCTTGATAAATTATCAAGATTGAAATTGCTATTGATAATTATAATATTTTTTTTTTATTAGAAAATAATTTTCTATCAATTAATTACTGCATGTGCCGATATTCTCGTTTTCGTTGTTGGTGTTTCCGACAGGGTAGGAGTATGATGTAATGTGGAACGATTTTTCGTCATCTTTTCGCAAATTTGGTTTGGAGACAAACCGGTTTCGGCGTTGTGCCATCTTCAGTGTCATTTTTCGTTTGGAATGTGCCGATATTTGAACCTGCGACTCACGGAATAATAGCAACGGCTTACAAAAGTGGCAGGTGCTTTTAACCGAAATTTCCAGCTATTTTTTTAGGTTTTCATAATTTACTGTACGTGTCAAACGGACCTCAGATTCGGATTCCGTGGGTCGAAATACATGTCGGTAGGTGGGACTGGTAAAAATCACGCGACATTTATTTTTTGTGCCGGAATAATCAAAAGAATTTCGGGACCTTACCAAAAATTGCCAGATGGCCGAATTTTTATACCATTTTTACTGTAGAATTCAAATATCGCAAGCATTCGAAAGTTGTTCAGAAGTGCAGCCCGTGGTGCTGCCACTGTAGTTCAAATATTTCCAGTATTCGAATATGAGATGACTCGNTATAATATTTTTTTTTTATTAGAAAATAATTTTCTATCAATTAATTACTGCATGTGCCGATATTCTCGTTTTCGTTGTTGGTGTTTCCGACAGGGTAGGAGTATGATGTAATGTGGAACGATTTTTCGTCATCTTTTCGCAAATTTGGTTTGGAGACAAACCGGTTTCGGCGTTGTGCCATCTTCAGTGTCATTTTTCGTTTGGAATGTGCCGATATTTGAACCTGCGACTCACGGAATAATAGCAACGGCTTACAAAAGTGGCAGGTGCTTTTAACCGAAATTTCCAGCTATTTTTTTAGGTTTTCATAATTTACTGTACGTGTCAAACGGACCTCAGATTCGGATTCCGTGGGTCGAAATACATGTCGGTAGGTGGGACTGGTAAAAATCACGCGACATTTATTTTTTGTGCCGGAATAATCAAAATAATTTCGGGACCTTACCAAAAATTGCCAGATGGCCGAATTTTTATACCATTTTTACTGTAGAATTCAAATATCGCAAGCATTCGAAAGTTGTTCAGAAGTGCAGCCCGTGGTGCTGCCACTGTAGTTCAAATATTTCCAGTATTCGAATATGAGATGACTCGAATTTTATCGAAGTAAATTTGTAGAAGTGTCAGTAGTGCTGCCACTGAAACTCGAAGGGTTTTTATAATTACACACAGGCAAAACATAATTAATTTCTTTCTAGTAATGCAAGTAGATGTTTGGTTGCAAAATTTACCAAAATAAAAAAGTTACGAAGTTACCAAATCGTTTAAAAGTTATCAATTTTGGTAGAAAGTTACCAATTGTGGCAACCATGTTTGTGACTTCAAAACTACACATCATCCGCTCGCATACATTGCGATGCATTTTTTCGTTCAACCGTAGTTGTTAATCTTTTCTTGGTAGAAAAAGGCAATGAATTTCCACTTTCCCACTGGGACTTTGCGCGTCATGAAAATAACTATGTAATAACTTCCGTCTCGTTGCAAGTTTCTCGGTTTTACTTTGAAAATAATTTGTTATGAAATATATATGACAAAACTAACTCACAGCGTCATCTTAAAGCGGTTGAAAAATAAATATTATCTTAAAAATTGTTAATAGCTTTCACAGGAAAATTTTTATGCCAAAATAAAAAACTAAAGTCCGAAGAAAACATCATAACTTTTAACTTTATAAAAAAGCATCGGTATTTGAACTAGCAGAGGACCCGACGTCGCTCGGGGTAAACAAATGAAAATATGACACAATAGTACAAATATTCAGTTCAGCATAAATTAAAGGAGACAAACTATTTTCTTTCTTTTAAATTAAGGCATCCATGAACCATACTTTTAGCTTCATCGTGCTTCAACTACTATATTTTGTCATTATTTTTCGTACTGGCTCATTCCATCTCAAATCACCCAGGCCGGGGGAAAGTGAATTTAAGTTTGCGATAAAACTCACAGGGATTGTTCCTTGAACAATTTAAGGAGATACGTATTTTTTCTTTTTGCTCAGAAATGCGAATTTTTCGAATAATGAATTTTTTTCTTTTTGAGAACGAACGCTTCTTTTTCCTCTCTTAATAGCAACTTTTGATGAAATCGCTTATGACTGCCGCAAAAAAGCAAGGATTTTAACGATTTTTTTAATTGCAGATATTGATCTACTGAATCGATCTAGTGAACTAAAAATCAGTAATTGTTAATTATTAATTAATTATTGTTTATAAACAAAATTTTTTATTTTTTTTAATTGATTTTTTTTCAAATTGCCACATCTTTTTTTTCTCTCAAACTTTTTTGTCTATTAGGGAATAGTATAAACTATTTTCAGTACGAGTAGCAATATGCTAAAATTCGTCGTTTTCGAGTTANAAAAAAAATCGTTAAAATCCTTGCTTTTTTGCGGCAGTTATAAGCGATTTCATCAAAAGTTGCTATTAAGAGAGGAAAAAAGAAGCGTTCGTTCTCAAAAAGAAAAAAATTCATTATTCAAAAAAATCGCATTTCTGAGCAAAAAGAAAAAATACGTGTCTCCTTAAATTGTTCAAGGAACAATCCCTGTGAATTTTATCGCAAACTTAAATTCACTTTCCCCCGGCCTGGGTGATTTGAGATGGAATGAGCCTACTACAAATTTGATTTCATTACTAATATTAGGTGGATTAAGGCAACGATAGAATTTTTAAAAGAAAATTAGTCTACTACGGTACATTCCGTTTAGCTGCCTATTCGCTTAGCTGTTTTTGTATAGTTGCACTTTTCCGGTAGAATGTTTATTTCGGAAGGAGTTTAATTCATTATGAATGAACATTTTTCGTTTAGCAGCATCGCGGGATAAAAAAAACGATTTAATCTTTCCATTTCGAAATAGTCTAAAGACTCTAAGATTAAATAAAATTATAGTTTAAAAAACTAAAACCTCATTATTATAATTTCCATTCGTACTGTTATCAGGTATGTAACTTGATAATAGAAATCGCTGCATCTTTTAGGCGCATCAATATTACATAGTTACATCCCGAGCTAATAAACGGGAGTAAAAAAACACAGTTTTAAATATCCAAGTGATATAATAGATGAATACATATTTATCCCCCTTTTACAAAGACATTTATATATACTTAACTCTAAACGCCTCCCACATATACATATGTCTGCATACCAAATTTCAAGTTCATGTGACTATTTATAGCTGATTAAAAATTCCATGGCTATGCTCCACGTTCCCGTTTACAAACTCATGTATACAAACCTTACTATAAGCACCTACCATGGATATGTATTCATACCAAAGTTCATATTCTTGTGAATTGTAGTTCCGAAGTTGTAGCTGATGCAAAATTTCACGCCTCTGGTCTAACGCCTCAGTCTAACGGATTTCGTAAAAAAAAGTTGTCATGGCTCCGATTCGCTTCAAATTTTTTATGGGTTCTATACATGAAATAAGCTAACACGTATTCGAGGAATTTTTTTTATCTTTTTTCTTCGGAGATTTGATCTGTAAAAATTTGAATTTTTTCGTGATTCTGACTATTCAATCAGTTCGTTGTATCTCGGATCCTGTTTAGCGTAGAGACTTCACCTTAACGTCGTTTTAAAGCTAAAGAAACGGGTTTAACATTTTTATATATAAGATGGTCAAGATTGTCCTAAAGCTAACTTAGCTATTAACAACTGAACTTTTTGAAGTTGACTTGCATAGTGAAGACCAGTAAATTAGGGATTCAAAAT